ATTATTATGGCCAAGACCAACACTGGCTATCAGGGCATGCTATTTAACTGCTATGCCCTTGTAGAGTTCACTCCAACCCTGATACTGATTTCACAACATATCTCTACTACTTGGTATTCAATTCAAGTTCTATCAAGCTTTCAAACCAGATAGCCCAGAAAGGCAGATTATAACTATACACCTCTGGTTTACATGTTTGCCAGCATGTAACCTTTTCCTTTAGAATCCAGAAATTCTGGCAGACTGGTTGGTTCTATTTAGCCTCTCCTCAAAGACTGGCTCTTTGTCTAGTTTCACAAGTTCTAGCTCTATTTCATAGGTCTAGTCTTTACAGTAGCATTGTTGAAAGTTTGGGTTACCTCTCTACTTAGGTCTTCCAAGTGGACTTCTATCTTCCTACCTGGTTCTCATGATTTACATAACCTAAGAACTTATATTGGGTTCACACTGCCTGGTACTGGTTTGTGTTTTTTTGTACAATGTTGTATAAAAGCCTAGACCTTTCAGTCATGCTAGTATAACATAAATTACAGGTGTCTTATCCCAATTAATCACAGAAGACAGTTAACTATAATACAGAAAGAATTACAAATTTTCACTATAACTGGGATTTAAACTCTAGACCTGCCACTTGGGAGTTGACAACCTATCCACTTTACTAGGTTGCCACACTCCTGATTATAAAAAAATTAATATTAGTAAAATTAATATATAGTTAATTTTATGCATATATGAGTTTTATGAGTTAAAAAAATAGATTTCTTTTACTTTTTATATTTAATAGAAAGCTAAAATTTTTAGTTAAGCCATATTAATAAATAAAAATATTTGTTTGTGTTAATTAAACAGAGCATGTGGTTTATATTATAAACATATATATATAAGTGTTTGTGTTCTATATTGATACAGGGTACAGGGTCAAGAACAGTACTAAAGAAATGTGCCAAATTGTTGCTTCGAATTCATCAATATCATATAACATCGCTTAAGACAGATTAGGTGGATTCAATTTGGTACTGGTCTAGAGTGGTCTTAAGAATGTTATTAAGGGAGTTTAAAGAAGCATATTGATTTTATTTAATTTATTTGTTTATTTAAATTTTTAACTAGTACTTTATTAATTAAAAACTTAATTTATTTATTAGGACAGGTTATAAGTTAAAAGGCGATTTGGGTTTAAGAGGATAGAAAGATACTATATCTGATGTTTTCTCTTACTATAGGGCAGGAAGGCACTCTTTATAGAACATTTTTGAAGAAAAACAGGGAAAACTTGTGACATGGCTTTAACACTTTTTTTCTCATTGTCATAGACTGTTTTTCTCTTTTTTACCAACACTCTTCTCTTTTTTTTACAATTCATCTGTTATTACTTTAGCATTTTTCCCATTATTTCACAACAGCATACAATCCAACACATGATGATGCATTAACATGGCCACAGACTTTACCTGTCAAGATAATATTACCTTGACAGTTGAATTCCAAATCGGCAGATAGCTTTTTCTTTAATGGATTAGCACCATCACTTAATGGAGAGCTTGATTTTTCTTGGGTTGTGGGTATTATGTTATGACAGTTTTTATGGTTGCAGTTGTGGGTCATTACACAACATTTTCTCAAGGTTTTAGGTTCAAATCTACCTATAACAATATGCAGACTTATAATAATCTAAACACATTTATTGTATAAAATATAACTTATATTTAAAACTATCTTATAAGAATAAAATCTTTTAACATCTTATCTTTTGATATACCAAAACATTCTAAAAAAGTTTGTTCTTTGAGACTTCTAACTAATAAATTCAATTTATTTTACATTATTTATATAGTTTAGAGTACTTTTTTAAAAAAAAAATAAAACCTAATTATAATGAAATAAAAAACTTTATAAATGAGCTGTAAGACTTCATAACTAAAATAAGATCTAATTCTTGTTACTCCAGCTTTGATGAAACCTTCTATATGTTTTTTTTTATTTTATTAGTTTTTATTTTTTTAAAAAGTACTCTAAACTGTATAAATAATGTAAAATTAAATTGAATTTATTAGCCAATCAGAAGAACTTCTGCCTATTAAATTAATAAATATTTTGTTGTAAAATTTATATAAGAACTCTTCATAAAGAACACAACACATCCTATACCTAATGTACCTGACCTTTGTAACACTGCCTAACACTATGTTCTCTATCATAATTCTGGTCAGTTATATTATCATGTGACTTCTTTCGTCTCTGTAATTAGACTCATATTATTTACTTATTGTAAAATTCATTGTTAATCAACTAGATACATTGCCCACTGAAAACTATGCAACAATAATATTAAAACATGAATAATGCTTTAAAAGAATACAGATTTATTATATGAATTTTAAGGCTGAATTAATTTAATTCTAAATTCAAAAGCCTGAAGTCTAGTTTTTTTATTTAATAGCATTTAAATACAAACAAAAAAAGCTATTGATTTGTTTATTGCTTTTATACATCTTTTTATGTAAGCTATATGCTGTGCCTAATAATACACAAAATATTTTTATTCATCAACATAGCTTAGTCCTTTTCAAAGTCTTAAGAAATTTGATCTCCACCAAGAGTTTTAATTTGCCTTTCATTAGGGAATTTGTCATAGAGTTTTATTTTTTATCAGATTTATGTTTTATTTTTTACCATTTGAGAAAAATGCTTCACCTAACAACTGTATTCATAATTCATTGCTAATATGGTACATTATTATATTTACTAACCAATAATTAGTCTTTAAAACCAAGACTGAACTGAACTGAACTATAATAATCTTTAATTGCAATGTGAAATTCTAGAAATCAACAAAGGCAAAGCCACAAATTAAATTTCAAAAAAATTATTTAGTGGCAAAGTATATGACAGTTTGTTTTGTATAGTTTAAATATGAAAATATTTACAAAAAAATTCAAAAATTTTTTTTAGAATAAAGAATATAAGATTTGCTAATCTATAAATTAATATTATTATTTATAAAATTCATTTGGTACATTAACATTTTAATTGTTATGTGATGCTAATATAATTATTCTTTAATGTTAAGCAGTCTTTAAATAGTTCAATCTTATAATCAATATATAATTTAAAACCTTTAATTAGCTTTCTGATTGGCCATAAATTGGGGGGATAAAGATCCTAGAATAAGGCTTAGTGTTGATTAAGCATTTAATTAATATTGATTATTCTGTTTAATTATAAAAAAGAGGTGATAAAGATCTAAAAATAAATTTTAGTATAAATAAAGTTATTTCTGTCAAATATCTAAACATTGCATATGAAAGTGAAAACTGCTCATGCAATCCATTAGTGGCTATATTAATTGTATTTTTTATCCTGATCAGACCTATTTTACTTTAATTAATCAACATGCAAATTAAAATTATAAGATCGTATATTAATTGTTTTCAAAAAAAGCCAAATATGTAGATTATATGAGCTGCTGTCAATATTGATTGAGCAGATCAACATTTTTAAAAGAATAGTAATTTAATTTTTAAAGCTTATATTTTGATAAATTCTGAAATTATTTAGTAATTTGAAGGTATTCTAATGATTTAAAAATGAAAATAAACTCAAGTATTAAACTTTATTTTCACTAAATATCTTTATAATTCATCAAAATATAAGCTTTTAAAATTAAAATATTATTTTAAAAACATTAATCTGCCTGATTAATATTGATAGCAACCTATATTGATATGATTAACCAAGTAGATCAAAAATATTGGATAATCCTATAATACAATTGTTTTTTATCAGTTTCTAGAGAAAAAAGATATGACAAGGCCTCAAAGCATTTCATTAATTAAACAAGTCAAAAAAAAAAACACAAAACACTCTAATTTTTATTTTATCAAATGATTATTACTTTTTTCTAAAAATATAACTTGGTGTATTGTAAAATTGGTTTATGTTATCTGTCTCTATTATTACTATACATAAGCCCATAGTTGAAACTTTGTGTATTTATTTACACTATAAGGCACAATGCTTAATTTGATAAATAACTTTGCCATCAAATTTCAATATACTAAAATCATACTTAACTTTGTTATTATATATATACAAATCATCTTAATGAATAGTGATTAAAAAAATAAATATATAAATTGATTTATATATTTAAGACTCGAATATATAATTACTTCTTAAAAATTTTAATAAATTGATTTTAATAAAAAAATATCAATATAAATAATGCCCTGTTATTTAGATACTATTGTAAAAATTAAGCATAATAATCAAAATATAACAAAAGGTGCAAAATTAATTTCAGTATAGGCTATCGGAATGTATCCAATAGGTTGAGAAAATAATAAAATAGAAATGATATTATATATACTGTTCAATCTGGAAGAACAAAACCCTGAATCACAAGCTATTTTTAAAAGAGGTAAATGCTACTTAGTTGGAAGTAACATCATATTTAAAAATTATAACAGAAACATAAGACCAAAGGTAATAAATTTTTTTATATAATAATAATAATATCTTAATATTTAGATGTTAGTCGCAATCTCAACTTACTTAACTATTAACAACTCAACCTTGAAATCAAATAAATGTCATCTAAAAGTTTCTTTAGTTGGAATTCCACAAAGCAAATTAACTGTAATTAAAAATACAGAAAATTCATTTTTTGAAATATTCATAAATAACTATATTAGCATCAACCAAGACCACAATTATGTAATCTTTATAGTTTTTTTATATACCAACCCATGATTCGAATACCTCAAAACTACTATGCATTCACAAAACTTTACTATTTTTGTAATTGATCAAATGAAAGTTATTGACAATAAATTTTACATTAATGCAAAAGATATTAACTATATAGATCTAAAAAAATTAAATCTAATATAGATAACTCACAAACCTCAACTAATTCAACAAGATCAAAACTACTAAATATTCATCAAAATATAAATAAAAATTTGAAAAATGCATCCAATATTCAATTATTGTCATCAATGCCTTTAAATCATAACAAAAATCCTTTCTTATCAAAATGCAAAAAATTGGAAAAAACTATTCAAACTATTAAGAACTCATTAAAAATAAAAAATGCAGACATCACTAATATAGACAGTCCAGATTCCATTAATATAGATGATGTCAATTATATTTTAAAAATAAACAAAATGATCAAATCTGATCAAGAAGAAATCAAGAAACTAACTAAAAATAGTAAAACAACTAAAAATAGTAAATCACAAAAACATTTTACACAAAATAATAAGAAAGGTAAAGAACATGCTACAACTACTCAAGAACTAGGTTCAGCTATAGATATCATTGATTCTGATCAAAAATAAAATATATTAGCTTTAATTTTTTAAATAAATTCATTTAAATAGTTTTTTTTATATAAATATCAACTTTTGCTTCTTAATTTTTCATAAAATTTTGTTTTTCTTCTGAATAAAATAAACTTATATAAATAAAAATATATAGTTAAAACCTAATCATTAAAATTAACTAATATACAGTAATAAAATAATTTTTTTTTTTTTCAATATAAGCAGTCATGCTAGTACTTTATTAAGATCATGAAATTACTACTGCAATTACATTGATGTACCTAACAACTGAGTTTAGCATCACCCGGCCACCTTAAAGGTACCTAAGTGCAACCTGCCGCATCACTTCAAACAGAAGTAAATTGCTCGTCT